AAAACCATGGGGTGAAAAATATAGGATTTGCGGGGCGGCTCGCGAGGTACAGTTTTTAATTTTAATCGTCACCCGGCCGTGTTCGCTCCGATCGATCTCGATATATGCCGACTGGGTGACATCTACGCTTTTTGCCCCTTCGTTGCGTCGCTTTCCCTCGCCGACTTTCCCCCGGGTGAATATTTACAAGCCGACGCGCTCGTGGCCGGGCAATCGGCAATAAAGTTCCTCCCTGAGACGCTCGAAAGGCTCGACAGACTCCGATTTGGGGCTTAATCTCATATTCGAGGGACGGATCAATTTTAAGGCTCCCCGATCGGCGAATTGGCACGTGGTATTGGCGGGTCGATGGCTCGAGGTTTTCCTCCCTTTTAATAAAACGCGACTCGCTTACGACGTTCCCAGGGTAGTTTTGAGATGTGCTCCTCGACGAATTCAATCCTTCCTTATTTCTGTTTTTTTTTTCCCCCAAGTTTGGCTGGATTATTTTGACACAGAATCTCATTATTTTTACTTGACGTTTGAAGCAAATTTTTTTTGTTTCATTTTAATGGCTCATCTTGTTTCTTTCTTTTCTTTTCCGGCTCGATATTCATCCTTTTGAAGAGTCTACAATTTATTCTACTATTATTCCTGGCTACATTTCTTTCGTTTCGACACCTTCGATACGCATCTAAGGGAACGTCCGAGGTGTTGTCGCTTTTTAGCCTTCGATCTATTTTAGAGCGACCTATAAAGCATCCCGATCTTTACGCAGTCTTTTGCAGCCCACGACTCTTTACAAATTTGCCTCGGTGTTTACGCTTACGGATTTAGCGATCACGTGGAAACACTGTTCGCTCTACTTTCCAGACGCGATCCTGAGTCACGATCCTGTCCCGAAGATCCAGAAGTCTTTGACTCTTTGGAGTCTTTTTACCTCCCTCCCCACCATTTCCTTCAGCTCCTCAGACTACTCCAGAGACGCGAGATATCCTGGTTTATCTTGATTTTCAAGGGGTCGGCCTAAATTTTTTAAGCGACATTTCAGCCAATCCAGATCTCAGAAAATTATTGACCACGATGTCCTTCCATTCTACTTTGTACTTTAATTTTACCAACGAGGGATTCGGTCATTTTAAATCCATGCAGATTTTTCTTCGATAAATTTTCGTTCGACCTAAGGGATCAGCCGCAATTTTTTAAGCGACATTTCGGCCAATCCAGATCGCAGAAAATTATTAACCACGATGTCCTTCCATTCTACTTTGTACGTGTAATTTTACCGACAAGGTATTCAGTCATTTTAAAATGCATGCAGATTTTTCTTCGATGAATGTTCGTCTGACGAATGTTCATATAACTGATTTTTAATATATTAATTTTTCTTACGTATAATCGAGGTAGCCTGGTGTCGAATTATTTTTATTTCGTTCTTTGGACAAGTGGAAATGTCAACTTCCGGTTAACGCGTGTCACCTGGCAAAGGACTAACGTTAAAGTCCGACCTCCGTACTTCGGTCTCTCGCGTCAAGCTCAAAGTGACCTGCAACTTCCGGGTATCTCGGCCGCGGTTTTCATTAAAACTTGGGCAGAGCTCGAGCCAGGCGAAACTGGCTTAAAGTACGATTGTCTTATATTATGAGAGTTTATTAATCGATCTGGCAAGAGCCGACTTTAAGCGAGTTCAGAGTTGCCGGGCCAATCTCGACGTCTGTCGACTTTTTAAGGCTCTTTTCGCTCCACTTATTGCGCACAATTTCATCGATCCATTTCCTTCGATTACTCACCCGTTAAAGTAGTTTGGACAAATCAGACTGCAATCGCTTCTTAAATGACCTATCAAAATAATGATTAATACACCGCTCGCCGGAAGACATCGCATGATCTAAAGATGAAAGTCGTGCAAGTCAGGTGACGTGCACTATTAAGGATAACGTAAAGAGACAGCGATTTCACTTTGGTTTAAAAATATTTTCCATTACTGAGAGATGGTCATAGTGGTTTTTTTTTTATCGAGCTAACGATATACGGGGTTATTGGGTTTGCACAAATTGATTTTTAAGCATTGTAGCTCTTTTGGCGAGAAATCTATTATTAAATTCACGTCGGAACTGCCTTCACTGGCGACACCGTCCATGTCCATGGGCAGGTTGTCCAAATTAATATCGCCTCGAAGCTCCATAAGGTCGGCAACTAAGGTTTCAAGGAAACTACGATGAAGGAACCAAATCGGCCGGTCGTAGTTCCTGCAACGTGGTGCTTGATTCTGATGCATTGTGAATATGTACGAATTAAAAATAAATTTCTAAAGGATTGCCCACCAAAAAGTTATTTATATTTCTCCCTAGTAGCATATAATAATTTCTAAATATTTCTGTGTAATTTTTGCTAAATATCTCAAGCGACAGATTTTTTAAGATTTCTTGGAGATTTCATTCGAAGATATTTGAAATATTTGTTGAAAATCTCAATATATTTAGTTTCAATAATTTATAAACATAGAGAAATATTTTTTAACTTATTAATATAATAGAAATACGTTTTTTACTTCACGACTATTATCGGACACTTCATTTGGTATCAAGAAACACGAGAAATTTTTCTAATATTTTCGTTCCGCTATTTCATTACGGGAGCAAAACGTGTAATTTTGATTTTAAATATTTTTAAAATGTTTGTAATGTATTCGGCAGATAATATTTAAAAAATACTTGTATTAAAATGAAACGAAATGTTTCGTATATCGGGTAGAAAAATATAATGAAAACACATGTAGCTAATATTATATAAATATTATAGGATAATATTCTAAAGTAAACGTTTTGCAAATATTTCAAATGTCTGGTAAATATTTACAAAATGTACGATATTCGTTAAATATATAGAAAATATAGGGCAAATAGTTTGTGCTACTAGGGCTGGCATTGGTTTTCAATTCAAGCTTTCCTGAATTTGGTGCTCCCGAGTATCGGATAGATGCTCGAGAGCCAAGGAAGGGATCGTTGTTTAATAGTCTCTGATAAGGAATCGCTGCAAGAGAACGTAGGCAAGGCTTTTCCCTCGATATTACAATTCCTCGTGATATTAATTGTGAAATAAAAGTACCCTCGGCACGTTGGAGGGGTTTTGAAAGGTCCGTTTCTCATTTTGTATTCCGGAAGCTCGTGAGAAGCTCAAAGAGGGACTTGCAGCGCTGGCTTCAAAGGTGCCCTATCGCAAATCGCCATATGCACAAACACAACATAAAGCTATGCTCCCTTCATTCTGGCACGAGTTAAGCAAACTAAGGATCAGGATGGAAACGCCTCGCACAATATTTGGTCAAGTTGGCGTATTAACGCGTTTCGGCTGGAATTTATGTCGGGGCGAAGTAAGACCTAAAAATTCTTCACTTCTGACCGACCATGCGTCATGATTTCGGAAGGAACTCGCTTTAACCGTAATTCTTTACCCGGACGAATTATTTGGGCACTGTTACCCGTGTTATAGAAAAAAAAAGAAAGAAAAATAGGGATCTGGAAAGGAAAAAAAACTAATAACTGGAGTGACTCGAGGAAAATTATGGTGACAACGTATCAGCTGGGATATTTTTGGGATTCGTTTGTTAAGCGTACAATGGCTCGTCTCGGCGGTCCTTTCATAACCAAATTATGCTCGAAACGCGCCAGCATTCGGCACGAATGTCCACTAAATACTCCGAAAAGTGAGGACAATGCTCGCATGATTAGGCAGTATTCGTTATGTTTTCCACGCAGTTTAATAATCCTTGTTGCCGCGGTCCATTTTCAGGAGATGATAAGTTTCCAATGGAAGTTGACGAAAGTGTTGTGACTAAAAATGAAATGAGTCAATTTATTCGATACTTTATCGTTCAATCATAGGGACAGTTCATTCAAAATTTAATCGGCTTACTTAAATTGAATTGGTAACGATTAGGCGTCGAATTGTCGCGCGACTTTGAATTTTCTTTACTTATCCGAATCAGTCATTTCAGATCCAGCTTTTGGCATCACCTTTTCTTACAATTTCTGACGAGTTCCGCTGAACACTTATCTTCTGTAACTCATGAAAAGTTCCAATCGCACGTATTAAAACTTATTAATGATACTTAGTTTTAATAAATCATTCGAATACTTATATCTGTGCGAAGTACACGATGAAAGGTGACGGTGTCGTTTATATCGCAATACCGAAACGTTAAATCACCGATCCAGGGTCCTTGATGCAAAGTCTGGGGCATCGGCGTGCACTTAGCAATTGGTTGAATTTCATTTCTGCAGCAGATCGATGAACTCCTTCCGTGTCTAGGTGCGCCCTTGATTCGGCGACCCCAGACTCTGTTAACTCGAACGAAAGGCCAAGAGCTCCGCAGTGCACTACTTTTCTCCCTAAGACGAGACGAAGAAGGATAAATATCTCCCGCTTCGTCAGAAACGATGAGTGTAGAATCGAACCTTGAAACCCAGTTAAATAGAGTATCGGGGTATTTTTGCACTTCTTATTTTCAACGATTATAACAAAATCAAGTATATGAAACGATGAGTCTAGAGCCGAACCTTCAAGCCCAGTTAAGTAGAGTATCGGGATACTTTTGCACTTTTTATTTCCGACGATTATAATAAAAACGAGTGTATGAAACGATGAGTCTAGAGCCGAACCTCGAAGCCCAGTTAAATAGAGTATCGACTCGGGGTACTTTTGCACTTTTTATTACCAATGATTATCACAAAAACGAGTGTATGAAACGATGAGTCTACAGCCGAATCTTGGAGCCCAGTTAAATAGAGTATCGGGATATTTTTGCACTTTTTATTTCCAACGATTATAACAAAAACGAGTGTATGAAACGATGAGTCTAGAGCCGAACCTTGAAGCCCAGTTAAATAGAGTATCGACTCGGGGTACTTTTGCACTTTTTATTTCCAACGGTTATAACAAAGACGAGTGTATGGCCAAGGGGGGAAAGTAATTACGGAAATCCAATTGGACATGCTTTGGGCAGGAACCTGCGGACAAAGTCAGGAGTCCCTGTGAGAACGACATCGGCAGTCCCGAAGAGTTTCCTGATGAGCATAAGCAGCGTCAATTTACGTGTCACTCATCGATGCTGGAGAATTAAATGCCAAGTCGGGGCAATCTCGACTTACCTTGGCAGCTTTTCGAAACCTCTTCCATGCGATGGCACAAACAAGGGGCATCACGAGAGGCGATAATTTGGCGGCCAAGAAGCAGACGTTAATGTTGAAGGCGAGACAGTGTATCGAGGGGTCCACGTAATAGGCTGCTTGGGCTATTCGGTTTGGCACCATGGTCAGGAAAAATCCCAGAGTCAGGCCAACTGGAACCATAAGCACATACGTTATGATAAACGTCTTCTTGACGGGCTATTATACGGCCAGAGTGAAATGGAACTGCGTAACACCATTACGAAAGGAAACTCCGAATGGTTCTACATCGACCCGATCCTTTCGGGGCGATTTGACACCCCGAAGCAGTTCTTGACGAATATGTCCGCCAGGCTATCTATCGACCAATTCCTCAATGTCTTCCCCTCGAATCGGTCTATTTATCAACGGGTCCAGATCGTAATACTGCCTCGAAGAGCCGAGGTCCAGGGTACCTCTCCATCTTGGCCCTCCAAACCAACCAGCTGGTCTTCGGAGCGCTTTTGAGATTTGAAAACACGAATGTCAGAAAACGAACTCTCATTTTCTCAAAACCTGATCTTGATGCGCGATATTGTATCGATTACAGGACCATTCATGATTTTTCGTCGGTTATGGACTTGACAAGTATAGGACAGATGAATCTTATTGTTTTCCCCTTTGTTCCGAGAACAGCATTGTTTTTAGAAGCTACCTTGTCTAATCGTCGCCTATACAGAGTGAACTAATCATTTTTTATATAAGAAGGAATTCTCATGATTTTTTACTTGTTATTGCCAACAAAATAAGCTGCAGGGCTGATGAAATGAAATTAATACACATTTGAAACGATGTTCTATTTTCTTGGGCTTAGCTTGAACAAGTTCTTTTATTATTTCTTATCATTAGATTTTCTGCATAGAAACGTCTTGGAATGAAACTTGATATGAACAATTTTATAGGTATTAAGTTGTTCGAGCTAAGTACAACGTTTCATGGGAAAAGTGATGGGAAAATATGATGCCCATTAGTATTTCTCAATATTTTCAATATTAATGAAGGCCACCTTTGTACATGAAATTTTTTCCCAAAATTATTTCCACTTTATGTAAAGTTCTCATCATTCGCCTCGCGACGCGGATGATTCCCACAAAATCAATGGGACCGAGAAGCATCTTTAGTTAGAAACTTTTGGATTGAGGCATGTAAGGAGGCAGACGCAAATTCTTTAACTTATTGTCAAAGATGAACGCGACATGTATGAGCGCTTTGATCGAGATCGATCGAAAATAGCGAAAGTTTGACGTTATTCCGAGAGTTTATCAAAATCAGGGAGAAGACGCGAATTTTGAACACGTTCCGCAATTTCTAATCGCATTGAAACAAGTTTCTAAAAGAAAATACAATTAATATTCCACACAAGATTGGGAGGATTATCCTAGGATCGAGAGCTCACCCAGTAAAAGGAAGCACTCGATATCCTTGGTTTTGGCCGATCGCATGAGAGACCCTGGTCTCTGGAACTCGTATATGACCAGACCCTGAAGAGAGAGGATAACCATAGTAGGCAGAGCGAGGAAGACGAAAGTGGAGCCAGCGAAGACGTAGGCTATGGTTTCTCTCCGAAACTGGGCGTAAAGGTGAAGTTCCATGGCGCTGAACATGGAGGCCAGAGACCAAATGAACAGCACGGCCTTGACCGCGGTGGACGTCTTCGACAGGGTTCTGCATACCCAGGTCGTCCTTCGACAGAAGACCACGTATCGGTCGAGGCTGAATATCGTCAGGGTGACGATGGATGCCTCGAAGGTGACGAAGGCGACGTAGTCGAGGTCCAGGTCATACGACTCGTCGACGAACGTTTTCAGCACCTCTCCGAGGATGCCGAAGAGGATGACGAGGTTCGAGAGGAACAGACTCACTAGGTAGCTTGTCGTGTTGGTGTGCATAGTGCCGTGGTGGAAGAAGACCACCAGGAGGAAACAGTTAGAGAAGCCACCGGACGCGAGGATGCAGATATCCATGATGGCCTCGGCTTCTGTGAGGTCGACGTTGGAATTGATGCTCATATTGCGGTATATGGACGCCACTCCGTTCTCCATAGGGTTGCCGCTGAAGTCGACTAGATCAAAGTCTATGGACCCTGGCATGGCTCCGGGTTATTCAATTTTCTTGGGTTCTCGTGGAAGTCTCCGATCTCTCGTAGGGATATTAAATGTGGCAAGGAAAGAACATGCCGATGGTAGTTGGAGCCTCTTCGTCGTTGGTCTTGATCCTGGAACGTAGGTTACAATCTCTGTCGTTTCATCTTCTGGCCTTGTTTATTTGTTTATTACTTATTAATATCCCTTTGTGTTATCGCCTAAGTCCTGCCGATGACGTATCCCGGAACCAAAGTCGACGGGTTAGAGGGTGACTCAGAGCTCGGGATTTCTCACGCCCCCGTCAAGAAGTCTTAGATTGCTTCTAGAAATATTAAAAGCAATTTACACCGCGAGGTATGTCGCAACGGACTGACTTTCCTTGTCACCTTTGTTCGATCTCACAATGGAGTTCAATGTGTAGGAGATATTTCTCCTCTGCATAGGCTCTCAAATATTTTGCGAAAGTCTTACACCGAAGAATTGTAATTCGTTGACGTATCCTTAGAGTATTCCGAGACTCTGGTTCACGAGTATTTATTTTCTTTTTAGTGAATTTTTGGATTATCTGGACAGATGAAATTAACGAAGGAACCTCGTTGTTCGCCGACCCAGAGGACACTGAATCGCGAGCACACCTTCCTAGGGTGGAGTTTAATGTCGTCGTATATATATGTACCTCTGTCCCTTAATTTCAGTGAAATCTTTTATGTACTGGGACGTCACGAGAAACGTCGCACGTTAACACGTATTACCCCCGTACAGAGGTTGATTTACACGCAAGCCGTCATTTCGTTAAGTAGCTTTTCCTTTTTCATACATCATATCAGTTTACCCCGTTTTATAAAATTGGAGTGAAATACGATGTCGATATCACGCACTCGGGAATTTTTTAAATATCGTCCGACCCCTCCTTCGTTTATTTTATACGTGAAAATTGTTTAATTTATAGATTTTAATATCCGAGAGTGTCACATAGCGGTTCCAATTACTTCACCATAACGTCCCTCATAAATTCACCTTGTTGGTTACCAAACCCATCAACTGATTACTTAGGTTAGCTGTTGAGCAATTCAAAAGTTATTATTCGCAAAATTTTCAATTCACCTGGAGCCCTTCTCCAAAGTTGCGGATCGAGCCTCGTTTTTCCTGTTTACGGCATTAATTAATTATTCAACTATGCCGCAACTCTTATATACTAGCTGGATTGGTTGTCGAATCCATCAACGGATTAGATTTGTCATTTAATATTTCAAAAGTTACCGTTCACAGAGTCTCACACAACTTGTGTAACGATTCTCCTCAGCATTGTCGGTCGGTTTCGACATTCTCCTGTGATATAAACTGCAGAACTTTACGTAAAAGACATTTTACCACTGGTCTGCGGTTCATGGCCGCCTCTCGATGGTTCTCTTCCCGAAGAGCCGACTCTCGGGCCAAGTTTAAGTTTTTCTCTTTCTTCGCGCACCGTACGAGCACTCGCATGTACACTCCACCAGCGTAAGCGGATGGTAGTCGGGGAAAAAAAAAAAAAATAATACGAATACGTTCGATAAATCACTGGCCATCCGGCGTATTTATTCGCGGGGCTCCGCACAATGCGGTTCCCTGAGGATCGGGAGCAAGAAGCCGGTCTCTTGGCGAACGGCCACCGGGAAGATGTCGGTTGGTTTTCCGCCCCCGTGAAATGATATTCAAAATTATCGCGAGTTTTGCAAACACGCGGAACGCACTACTACGATAACTCGTGACGAACGGCAATTCCAAAAATGACTAAGTACACGTACGGTAGGGGAGAAAAAGAAACGGGTACTTAAATTCCAGAGTTACTCTCGTCCACCGTACAGAGATCGATCATCGATGGGTGTTCCTTGATTTATTCACGATTCATTCACGATCGTTATTTATCGACCCACCCACCGAGGCGTTTTGTTTACAAATTTTCCCATCAGAGCCACGGACTTTTTCAGATACTATAAATATTTGATAATAGCAGGGGTCATTAATCGCATCCTTCGGAGGGGGGTCCTACCGGGAATCGATCTATCGATATTACGGGGCATACCAGAGATCGACCCAGGTGGGTCGTTAATTTCGTCGGCACGTAATTCAGGGCCTCTCGAAATTACCCGCTGCCCTCCTTAATGCCCAAAGGCACGAAAAGCTCCCCTCTTCGGGGCCGACCTCTTCGTTTTTCTTCGGGGCTCGTTTCCATCGAAGCCTCGAGACCAGGCCCGAATAAGTGCAGTGGCAGAGCCTTAAGGCCCCGACCACAACCGGTTCGGCGCACACAATGGAAACGTTACGACGTTGCGTTAACCAACCCCGTATGTGGACGGCGTAATCGCCGAGGACCTATCTTCGGCCCTCCACCTTGGAACGCGTAGGTGTCTGGTATTCATAGATCGGTATAAAAAGAGGGGAGGTAAAATCGGCGAGGGAGACAGTCAGGAGTTAAAATAAAAGTGGGAAAGCGGAAAGGAATTATAACGACCGAGATGTAGGCATCGGTAGGCGAGTCTCGTCCCCGGATGCTTGGCTTCGACGGGGCGCCATTATTTTCGTGACCACCTCAGCCTCTTAAAAAGGCCCAGCTAAGGCCCCGGCCCTTTCCCTCCGCGGCGTTTACTTCCTTTTCGGCATTTTTAATTCTTCTCCCTCTCCTATCCCGTCCATTGTTCCACGGCGCCTTTGCGCTCGTCCCCTCTTCGGCCTCGCTTACGTATTCCAGCCGCGCCCTGGGCATTTTGTTCGTGATTTCATGAGATTTGCATTGTTTATTCCCGAGGGGGCTACGGGGTAACCGAAGCCTGGAACCTGGACGAGTTCTGTTGGCTTTGTGGCTTTACTTTCGAAGCCGATGTCCCGGGAATCGAGGAGAATTGACGGGGATACGTGAAATTCAATGCGGCATTTACGGAAATCCTGGCACCATCGATATCTCTTGTATGAATGTGAGATCATCTGATTCCTTGCTTCGATCCGAGGGGAGCTTCGCCCCTCTTGTGAGGTTTCGTTAATAATGAATCATTTTTAGTGACGAAATTTGCATCTTTTTATTATGACTGTGAGTTATTTTTTTATGACGCCGCGGTTTTCAAATTGCTCCCGTTCCCCAGGCACCGCAACGTGGGATGATTTGCCCGATATCGTGTTATAGGCAATAACGATTTATTTTGATTGAATATCGAAATACAAAATGTGGCGATTAATCGATGCCCTACCAATTTTTATGGAGCTTTACGAATAGCCCTGGGATGATTGCATGTAAATTATGCAGTTCAGTGATCGAAAAATCTACGTTTACTTTTAACTAAAATTCAAGAATCGCAAGTCCGTGTCGATGAGGTGATATGAAAGTGACGTCAAAGAGGCCTCGTTGAAACTTATCTCCGAACTAAGAGTACCCGAATCGTTTGACACTTTACGACGTGAATATGGAAGCTGTAAGAAAGGTCCTGACCCTCATAAAATTTCAATTTAAAGAAGATTTCATTGTAGGATATTTTGCAAATTTTATATAAACAATGAAATTTCGCTAGTTTCAGAACCTACCTTAGGGTCTCCTTATTCATATGGTACGATTTGAAAGAAATTGCTACACCCAATTCGGAGAATACTGTCGCGAACGATTGACCGATGCCACTTTCGTATCATCTTAAGTTTTCCATTGATCGCACATTTACGGAAGTTGCATTAGGAGGACTTGACCCGGTTTCGGATGTCAGTATTTACGCGTGTACGAGCACTTACGGGGTCGGGTCGTCGACCCTCGCACGTGGCCGCACGCAATACGCACGGAGACGCGTTTACGTTTATTCCGCGAGGGATATTTGTTTAACCGAGGAACAACCACTCGGCCACCTGTTCCACCTGTTCTACCTGTTCCAGGGGAGTCCGAGTCCGGCGTGACCCCCTCGGTTAATCATGGCGGACCGATGCCTCGTGGTTGACGTTTCTCGTTTTTGCCGCTCCCTCGGCTTCAGAAAGGATATACGATATGTTTACCTAGAGACTGAAAGATGGGTCCGATAATAACGATTGATCTCTGAGGGCAACGGCGAGATTTTTCGACACGTCTCATATTTCTTTTCCTCGATGATCCCGCGTAAATAATTTCACTTTGCAACCTGTGTGAACCCTTGCAAGGCTCTTCCTTAAGTCAACCCATTAAGGATAAGATTAAAACAAGAAATCGAATTTTATAAGTCAAACTGATAGACTTGGAAAAATAATATCCCATTGGTTTCGCAACCTTAACTAAAGGGGTTTGACAAGGCGATGTAGCAGGACTGCTTCATAGTCCCTATTTTGTGTTGAAAAAAGGAAAGACAAAATATCGTCGTATTCTTCTATACTCGTACAACAAAGTCCCATCGATAAAAGGTGCATTTAGCTTTCAACTTTTTCCAAAAAAAGAAAGGAAAAAAATTGCAAAACAGCGTAATGACTTTCAGACACTGATAGTAGTGTAACCCCTTAGGGAAGGTTGGAAGCTGAGTTTCGCTCTTGGGTCGGCCGTTATTAGTTTTTGCGTCGTAAAGACGTAACTGCGGGCCCCCTGGAAAGGTAATCCATCCATAGGAAGAGCGTAATTTATGGTACACGAGCGATCGAACAAAGTTGCGAATACGACGCGCACCCTGTCTCGGGGGGTAAAAGGCTAGGGCTCGAAAAGTGTCCGCAACAGGTGAGCCCCCCCCCGCCGTTTTAGTTTTTCCATTCTTCGGGAAACGCTCGCGCGGTTTCCCGGCGCGCTCCGCTTCTCGATTATCGTTATTTACTTTTCCATTAACCGCGTTAATCGTCTAGGGGTTTACGAGAACGTTTACCGTAATGCGCGGTGACTCGGGCTGTCTCGGCCCGGGAGCAGTAATCGTTCCTTCTAGGTATTACGGTAATGGCTTGTTTCGCGATGGAAGCAGCGACGAGATATTAACGTAGAGCCCTGCTCCGTACCCCCGACGAAGCATAATTTCCTCGGCATTTTGCAATTCGTCAGTTTCTCA